ATAAAAATATTTAATAGGGAGTAAAAAACAACATTGAGAATGTGTTCCCAGTCTGTTGCCAGGTTTCTCACCCCTTCTGGGGAGGGAGCCTGAACTGGAAAGGCCCGATCCGTAGCCACTGGGGCCCGGGGCGGCCTGCGGTAATACCCTAATTAACGCCCTCACGGGCACTCTTGATCTTCAAGGAGCCATGCCCACTCGGCTGAGGCTGCTCCTGAATTAACTGCCCTGAACCAAGAAAGCCTTGCCCAGAGATAAAGGGAAGTGTGGTGTTTCATCATTACAGATTGTTCTGAAATCCACTCTGGCTCTGGGCAGTGGCCTGGGTCTGGATGCCTGGCTGGCCCCCTCCCCTGTGACCCCCCCTGGGCGCCACGGCCCCGCAGCCTCGCATGCGCGCGCGCGTGTATGTGTGTGTGCGCACGTGCGTGCACACGCGCACAGGCTGCTTTTCCTGGGTGGGAGGGAGGCTCACTGGCCGTGGTAAGGGTGGTTGGCCCCCATTTTCCAGAGAGGCCTGAGACAAGGCAGTCTAAGGACAAACACACAACAAGGCCAAGGCCAAGGGACAGAGGGCAGCCAGGACTTGGGTGTGCTCCTCTTGCCCTGTGCACATTGGGACTGGGGACCAAGTGGGATGGGCTCCAGTCCCAGAGCTTATGCTGCTGGGGGACCCAGCATCCTTCACACTCCTGTCTGTGAGACTTGGGACAAATGCCACCTGAGGAATTCTGCTTCGGTGAATTAACAGGGTTTGTGCAGAGGAGTCCGTGCCGTCAGAGTTGCTCCCCGGGGGCCGGGCCACGTCTCGGCCCTGGTCCTCTGGGCAAATGGCCCGGCTTCCTGGCCTCTAAGTGTTCCCATCTGTAAAATGGGGAGAGGTGGGATAGATCACTGCTCCTCGATGTCTACCATGTGAGTGAAATGAAATCATGCAGGGCCCGAGGTGCTCAGTGGGTGTCAGTCATGACTCCCACGGGGAAATAACATCATAGCAATAAGGGAGCATCACCTGGAGCCAGGCCCCAGGCAGGCACTGGCACATAGGCAGTGAGGTGGGTTTAGGGGGACATGCAGGCTGCACACCACAGAAGGTGCTTAATAAAGGCAGATGCCCCTCCCACGGGCCCCCTACTTTGCTCTGAGGAATAGCCAAGGCCCTTCCCACTGCTCCCTGGCTTCTGGGTCATGGGCAGTGCCGGCAGGCAACCAGGGAGGGGCGGACGCCCAACCAGTCACCCCAGCTGCATGGCGGCCCCTCTCTCCGCCTATTTGGAGCACCTGACTCACTTTAATTATGGGCCTTCAGGCATGTCGGGGCGCGCCGGAGACGCCCGAGATAGCCCGGAAGCACCGGCTCTGGGGGCGACCGGACATCCCGACCATCAGCCAGGTGCACCTTCACCGCCCACCAGCACCTTCCCACCCTGGAGATCCCCGTGGCACCCCCTCCTTCCGCAAGGGGCCCTCTGGGTGGCCTCCGGGGACTGTGCCTGGGCTTGGGGTCAGAATGGCCCAGGGGCAGTGCACGCGGGGCGGGTCTGCCTCCCGCACACAGCTGGGTGCCGGTCGGGGATGCCCGCAGAGCCGGTAACGCTGCTCCCACGCATTGGGCACGGCCGCCCACGCCGCCTCCGATTCCGATGTATATTTAGCCTCATTATCAAATATTTGCAATGAACCGTGTGAACCGCCTAATAGCGGCTGGAAGTGAAACTTGATCCCAGGCAGAAAGAGCACGTGACCACGCCTGACCAGCAAGGGTCAGGACAGGAGCGCTGGGCAGGTGCAGTAGCCCCCACGCGCCTGGCCTCCGGACTTACGGTCCCCTCTCTGGCGTGAGCATCCGCGGCCCACCTCCTCACCCAGCCCCTCTTTTCCAAGGGCTAAAAGGATGCTCGGAACCGGAATGGGCTGGGCAGGGTGTCAGGAGGAACCAGGGTCGGGGGACGGAGCCTATCCGCGTGGGTTCTCATCTAAGTTGGTGACCTCTTGGTCAAGTCAGTTCTCCTGTCTCCATGTCCAATTCTTGGAAACTGGGCTGCTGGGCCTAATTCTGCCGGTTTCTTCTGGGGATCGGGGGAGGGTGGGGCACGTGGGGCTGGGGGTCCTTGCCCAACCCCAGCTGGAGCCCGCACCGTGTCCTAAGTTCCCTCCGGCCCCAGAGGTGCCTGTGGTGCAGTTTGCCACCCTCCCAGAGTCGCTGTTGTCTGGTCGCTATGACGACTCGCGGAGGTTTTAATAGCCGCCGGCGATTAGAGGGACACCAACGCTGCTCCTCTCCCTACTCCCCCCACCGCCGCCCCCCCCGCCCCCCGCTCTCCAGTCTGGGGGTGGGATGCACTCAGGCCTCGCCCTTACTTTCTGCCCTGGACGTGGCTTGACTGCCATTGAAGACACCCCCCTTAACTCCCCTGCTGGCCGCAGACTCCAGCTGGGCACCCCTGAAGTGCCGCATGGAGAAGGGGCTCAGGTGTGGCGGGGTTGGAGCTGGAAGAGCCCCGCGCCGAAATACAAGGCGGCCTTCCCTCCTTCATTCCTGTACCCACTGCTGAACCCAGGCCTTTAACCCCGAAGGCGTGTCCTCAGGTCCCTCTGCCCGAGAGGAATCCGAGGCTCAAACGGAGGTGATGCAGCCCAGGCGGGATGCAGAGGCATGGCTCAGACGGGGTCCAGCCTGAGTCCTTGCGGTGCATGTTGGACTGCCTTCCCCAAACCGGCCAGTGGTGCCCCTCTGAAGGTTCCACCTGGACGGACAAGGACTGGCCCTTCTGTGCTTCTAAATGTTTCCAAGCTTTCCCTGGTTCTGTCTCGGTCCTCCTTCACCCTCCTCACCCGCAACACCTGGAGAGCGGGCTTGGTGGCGGGTGGTGGGGTGGGGCTGCCGCCTGGGGAGGGCAGGGGCATTGGGAGGCTGCAGGGGTGTGAAAGCACGTGGAAGGGCGCTAGTAGACCAGGGCCCTCTGGAAAGGGCAGGAGAAGTCCCGCCTCCCCCCTCCCCAGGTATTAGGGGGAAGGCGAGCGCCCCCAAATCGCCCTCCCGACTTGGCCTTTGAAATGCCGGAGCCCGCCCAGCCGAGGATGAAAGACCGCCCGCGGGGCTACGCCTTTACTGCCTTTGTCTGGCGGGAGGGCGGCCGCGGCGGGGCACGGGCCTAATCCACAGGATGGGGCCGAAGGGGGCGGAGGCCTGGGGCGGGCAGAATTCCCGGCCGGCCGCCCACCCTCCCACTGGCCAGGGAGTCTCCTAGCCTTCTGGGGCCTTGCCGTCTAGCTTTGGGGTCGCAAGGCCCGTCTTTCCTCCTAGCCCTGGTTCCAGGCTCGGCTGAACCCTCGAGGGACCCGCCGGGGTCCGATCCCACCTGCTCTAGGCGGGCGGAATCTGCCCAGCTCGGGTGCACCTGCCCTTGCGTGGCAGGGGAGCGGGGCAGCCGGCTCAGGCCTCGGCCTCGAGCGCGCTGCTCCCCCGCATCGCGCTCTGTGCCGCGCCTCGGCCGGAGGTGGCGCTCTGTGCGCCCAGCGGATCCCGGCGTGGGAGGCTCAGACTCCGGGGGTTCCTCGCGAGCGGCTCCTTTCTCTTCCTTCCCTTCCGCCCCCTCGAGTTCCCGGCTCAGGCCGCAGCCCAGGCTTCCACGAGGGAGTGGGGACGCGGGGTCCCAGGGTGGGGACCAGACACACTGCAACCCCCTCCTCCGACCTGGGCGCTCTCCCATCTCGGAATGCGGGTGGAGGTTCCTCATTCAGACGCCCCAGGCATCGGATTCTGGGCGGCGGCGCGTGGCAGCCGCCAGGTGAGTGCCCCAGACGCGCCCCTAAACCCGCCCCACCTCTCACCAGAAACTCACTCCCCCTCCTTTTATGGAGACGGGGAGGCAGGAGCCCTGGATCCTAACGGTGGAAAGAGGCCCGAGCGCCGGGGCGGGGGGCCGGAGGCGGGAGCCGGTTCGCTTTTGCCCTTTTTGGCGTAGCAGCTCCGGGCGCTGCCCTCGGCCGCCGCTGGGGCCCGAGGGAGGCGAGGCGGCGACGGCGGCTCTTCTGTGGCGGCCTCCTCCCCTCCCCGTCCGGTGCCGCAGGATTGCAGCTGGCACTGGAGGGTGGGCAAGCTCGAGGGAGGGGCGCGCGGGGAGCCCCGCCGGGCGAGCGGAGCCCGGCGGCTGTGCTCGGAGCCAGGCGCGGGGCTTTGATGGATTTTACTGCCTGCGTGAACGCCAGTGTGTGCTCACTGCGGCGGCGGCGGCGGCGGCCGGGCCCTGCCCGGCCCGTGCGGCCCCCGCGCGCTTCCGAGGTGCGGGTCCGGGGCCCGGAATCCGGGGGAGGCGAGGGGGAGGGGGCGGGGGAGGGGCGCGGCGGCGGCGGCGCTATAACCCCCTCCTCGCCGCCGGCCGGCTCCACACGCGCGCCCTGCGGAGCCCGCACAACTCCGGCGAGCCGGGCCTGTCCGCGCCTCCTCCTCCTCTCCCCGGCGGCGGCGGCGGCGGCTCCGGGTCGGCCCTGCGCCCGCCCTCAGGCCGGAG